GTTGGGTGAATATCAGTGCTTATTAAACAGAGATCACTAACAGTGACTAGAGCCAGCCATTGGGTGGGCATGTAGTGTGATAGTTTCATGCTCACCTCACCTCTGCCAATCCATGTCAGTCTTCATCTTCTGCTGTTCAGTTCTAAGCATCTACCCCACTGCAACTGACATGCCAGTGTGTAATGGCTCTCTGGGCCATAAAAACTCACTTAGCTTTTGATTGACCTAAGCCATGTTAGGCCCTGTTTCTAAATAGTAACACCCTGGCACAGTGACACAATTATGGCAGCTGGCTGTGATTACATCTAGGACCTGTTCATAAAAATACTTAGTTCTTATATAGCACTTTTCAACTGTGCTTCTTAAAACATTGTTTGAAGGTGGGTAAATACTATTATTCCCATGTATAGGGAATTGTGGTATTTTAGGACTGAGCAGGGAAGAAAAGACACCGGGGCCATATTAAGCCCTTTGAGGGGTTGTATTTTAAAGGACAGACCTGTGAGAGGAAGTCATCCCAAGGTGGAAGTTTGTGGTTTGAAAAAGAATGCAGGCGGCTGACTGGCTAGGGCTTGGGACCAGAGCCTAGAAGTGTGATTCAATCCAGGTTTCCCTTTCAACTGGGCCCAGGGGATGATGGGGTTAGTAGGCCTTCACCCTCAGTATGCTGGGAGGGGGGAACAGGAACAGTCTCCCTCACAATAGGAGGGAGCTTGGAGCCTCTGACAGTATGTCGCACAGCAGCTTGGAGCAAGCCTCCCAGCCTGGATAGATGGGTTCAAGCTAGCATACCAGATATAGCTGTGTGGGTGTTGCAGCTTGGGTGAGTAGCCTGGCTCCCCTGGAGCTACACCATCCACACTGCTATTTAGCATGCTAGCTTGAGCCCTGTTTAGCCCTTAGGGTATGTCTATGCAGCAATTCAACACCTGCAGCTGACTTGGGCTTGCGGGCTGTAAGACTGCAATGTAGATGTTCGGGCTTGGGTTAGAGCTTGAGCTCTGGGACCCATGAGGGGGGAGGGTTCTTGAGCCTGAACATCTTCATAGCAATTTTGCAGCCCAAGCCTGAGTCAGCTGACACAGGCCAGCTGTGGGTGTTGAATTGCTGTGTAGACATACCCTTAGAGACCAAGAAAGCTCTCCTCTTCCCCTTTAACAGATCTTTGAGGGAAGGGCTGAAGACAGAATCAGGAACAAGGAAGTGAACGTGGGGAAGGGGTGATTTTACTATTTTTAAACTTAGACTTCAGTTTGTATGTTTGTTAGGATTTTACCAGCAGCCTGCTGGGGAGAGTCGGGCCTGTCTGGAGAAAGGAAACCTTGGTGGATAAAACCTGTTGCTTGTTTTGCTAAAAGTACTAAATGGGTGTGGCCTGCAGTGAATGTCTGCCTGGTAAGCACCATTTTGCAGCTGGGGAAACTGAGGCATGGAGCAGTTACATGACTTGTCAAAGGTCAAACAGCAAATCAGTGATGCATTTGAAATTAGAAACCCAGGTCTGGTGCCCTGACAGCTTGAGTTGAATACTGTGGTGGCTCACATGAAGAAAGGTGATTTCTATTCTTACCAGGATCCCAAATTATTATTTTGATTTCTGCAAAATTAGCCATATTTGAAGGATAACAAATATCCCTTTTGCTGCCTGACTCTTTCCCCTTGATTCCTATTTTTAGGAGGACATTGGTTTGGTATTAGTGGACCAATATGTTTATCATCACTGTAACTGCATGCACCTGTTGTATTTGTCATAAGTAAAACAAAAAAGAGTATGGGGTAGGGATTTTGACAGGTAGGGCACCATGGTGTTGGTTTAACACATCTCTTGTTAGTGAATTTGTGCTTCATTAACCGAAGCTGGTAGCAGTGCAGATGGACACTAGAGCTAAGTATGCTAGCATTGCTTTTTTCTGTTAGTGTGTTTACAAATTTTCTTAGAGGAAATAAACAGGGCATAATTGCCTCTTTGAAATTAAATGTTTCAATGATACTCTTAACATGGTAAGCTTAATGGTGAAATAGGACTATCTGAATCATAACTCAACGAAAAGTTTTCTACACTTTTTCTTAGAATTTATTACTTAGTTTGCTTCAGTTGTATTGACTAAACTGCATGGATTCTTGGAGCTTTTTATAAATATCTTCTTCAAAAGCAGTTTGCATGATTATTTTGATCTTAAGTTTCAGACTAAATTGGGCAGTTGATCGGACAGGGAAGTGGCAAGAACTGGAGTATCCCAGTCCAGCATACCCCGCCTTTGCCTGTGGGTCTGGTTATGTTATCTCCAAAGACATTGTTCAATGGTTGGCAAGCAACTCTGACAGACTCAAGACATACCAGGTACTTAAGCCCCATGCTAAAAAACCCACAAAACCTTAAGGTCTCCCACTCCCCCTTCCCTTCTCTCACACCACACCTTTGATTCTGGAATTAGACTTGTTAGCTCTGGCTAACTTGTAGATTTTTATGTTGAGAGAGATTTGAGATTAGGAGCTCCAGAGTTCTAACCCCACTCTTGCATTGGCTCCCTCTGTTGCCTTGGAAGTCACTGTGACCATATTTGCCTTAGTTTCCTAACCTGTAAAATCCACCATTTTAATACACAGCTTCCTCAGCAATGTTGGGAGGAATGGGTGATATTTTTAAAAGATGCTCAGAAGAAACTACATTTAAGAAATAATACTAACATTTTACTTGTTCAGTCAGTGGACAAGAGACTTTGGTTCAGAATTTCACACTTGGTGCATTTCCAAGTAATTATTTCCCGAGGCTAATGTTTGTTTTTAAAATGCATCTACAGGGTGAAGATGTGAGTATGGGCATTTGGATGGCAGCTATAGGGCCTAAGCGATATCAGGTGAGCAAGTCTGCAGAAATTCTGTTTTTCATGGTATAGTAGCATGGCTCTTAATCCAAGTTGAGCAGCCCCTGGAAAATACAATTTTCCTCATCATGGAAGGCATTCCTGCAGTAGCTATTTTAATGCATGAACAAGTGTCTCAAATTTTTTTTTTAATCCACACGAGCAGTTCATTTCCATCAGACCTTCTCCCATCTAATTAAAAAATAATTATTTCTTGGTGCATATAGAATAAAATCTTAAATTATTACTGGGTGACTTTCTTTTCATTAAATAGCTACATCTCAAATTGTGCTATTAGTTATCATACTAACCTCAGGCAGACGGGTGTTATGAATACATGTTTGGGACACTTGTCTTTCCAGTTTCCAACACCTATTAACAATAGTTTGTCAAGAGTTTCTACTCAGTGTCAGGTTAACCAAGGGGTCGGCAACCTTTCAGAAGTGGTGTGCTGAGTCTTCATTTATTCACTCTAATTTAAGGTTTCTTTCTATAAGTCTATAATATATAACTAAACTATTGTTGCATGTAAAGTAAATAAGGTTTTTAAAATGTTTAAGAAGCTTCATTTAAAATTAAATTAAAATGCAGGCAGTGTGAGTGCCACTGAAAATCGGCTCGCGTATCGCCTTCGGCACACGTGCCATAATTTGACCAATCAAGCTTCAGTGGTAACATGTAATAATATATGAATCGCCTGGCCAGATCAGACCAGTAGTATAGACTTCAGAGGAAAATGTAAGTGTACCCATTATGAAATTATTTGATCCACAGGAAAATTTCTAGCACCCATCAGTCAGGGGCTGGCTTATGCCCTGATGCATCTGTAAGATGTCTGCCAATTCATCTGAGGGTTTTAATCATATACACACTGCCTCTGTCTACATTCTGTTAATTACTAACATATTATTAGCATGTGTGTGATTTAGTGCATGTAAAATACTGTCCCTTTCCAAAAAAAGCCAACTGCAATCATTGTCTTTAAACAGGACAGCCTCTGGTTGTGTGAGAAGACATGTGAAACTGGAATGCTGTCTTCCCCTCAGTATTCCCCACAGGAACTAACGGAGCTCTGGAGAGTGAAGGAATTATGTGGAGATCCTTGTAGATGTGAGGAAAGATGATAAAGACTTGTGACGATACCACCTTAGTAGTCCTGATTGTGTGTTTAATAGTGGAAATTTCACCTATAATGTAATTAATATTTGCCCATCCATTTTGATAAAAATGGACTGATGCTGTCCAGAGTAGCATTTTTCTATAGGCGAGGTGTTTGGTTTTGTCAATTTCCTTTTTTATAAAGTCAAAGGACTATTGGTAATTAATGCACATATGAATTCCAACTAGCCTGTTTGAAATGTGTATTAGGATGATAATAGTGCAGAACCACTGCTATACATGAGTCAGCAGGTGCAAGGTTCCATGCCAGCACATCCATTTACAGGATTAATGTAATCCACAACCGCAAAGTGTGCAAGGGGGGGGGGGGGGGGGGGATAGTTAAATTTTAGGATTTATATTGAGTTTGTGTATACTTTGTAGTGACTTGGATGAGATTATGATGCAAGATATCAAACTTTGCTTATACCAAATCTTGAACTACAGCAAATAATATAACCAGATTCAAAGGAATTTGCATTTTTCTGATAACTAGAAAAAAAGTTTGAGCAACATATGGAGAATATCCATTAAACTGCATAACTTGTCAGCATATTGCAGAGCTATTTTGAATAAATCCTCCAATTCAGCAGCTTAATCTTAACTGTGATCTTTTTCCCTATAGATGTGTAAATAGGATACAGCAACAAGGAGATAAGAATACTGATCTAAACTTTCCACACACCTATCTAGGTACCTCTCTATATAAAGCTCTGTTCTTTTCTCAAAGGCTTCCTTAGAAGTATTCCTTAAATTATTTCCTCTCTCCCTTAAAGCAGCGTTTAAGTGCCCTTTTCTAGTGCAACAGCAGTTGTCCGTGTGGCTTTATGCTTGCAGGTATTACAAATGAAAATATCACATGAGATTTTAGATTACATGTTCTGAGTAAAATAAATGTGTGGGTCTGTTTAAAACTGATTCTTCTATAGAAATTCTCACCAGTGCAGCATAAGACTTGAAGAAACCTGCATGCTAATATTCCATTTAATCTCTAACAAACTCACAGGTACTAATTTATTGAAAATATACATGCAGGAGTTACAAGCATCGTTTCAAATAGCCCTCTGTCCCGGTTTATAAAATCCACGTTAAATACGTACAGGAAGAGTGGTAGAAATTGTAGATGCTCTCCTGGGGCAGGCTTGGGCTGAACAGCACTGTGCATCTTCAGAAGATACCAGTTTAAAAAAAAAAAAAAGTTACCACCGTACTAACATAGTGTCTCCATTTTCTATAGAGTAAAACTGCAAGGGCTTTAGGTCATTTTCTAGTTCAATTTCTTTGCCTTCCATCTAGAAGAAGAAAAAATAATAATTCAGGCTCATTTAAAATGCACACTCTTAGGTAAGTCTTTCGGTAGTTTTTTCCCTTGGCCATCTTTCAAGTCCAAAGGAGTTGGAGAAGGCCTAAAAATAGCAAAGACTGCTGGCCTTTAAGTGAAATCTATTTCATTCTATAATATTTTAGAATGCAGTGTTGACCTTTTAAATACAACTTACGTTGTTACTTACTTTAGAACTTTCGTAGGACAATTTCAGTTCTGAACCAGGAATTTTAAGTAGACGATACAGCAAGCCTTTGACCTTCTGAATAGTCATAGAATCTGTCAAGAAAAATCAAGTAGTTAACCAGGCAACCTGATTATGTACTTACATCCTAGCAGCTTAAGTTCTACCAGATCATACTGTCAATCAAATATGGTTTTTATGTCTGAATCAATTCTAACTTCATTATCTTTGGTAAGTAACATGGTACTACCTAAAAATATTTTCATCCAACATACTTTCATGATTTATTTTTCCTTTCAGGTGTAAGTGACCTTCATGACCTATAGTACAGTTTTCATACATACCACTCAGATTTTGGTGTGATAATGCTTTAGGAGCAGGAGTCTCAACTTTTGAAGCACAAAGAAATGAATGTCATTGTGGAACACTTAATGTATGTTTCAGGATTTAATTACATTAATTAGTTCCAAACAAACTGCTAGTAGCCTTATGGATTGGTTCATCAACAAAGTGACAAGATGATACTCAAAGTTCCATAATGAAAATAAGTTTAGTTTGTACAAGAGAGGTTTCCCATTATGTGTGTCTGGTACAGAGATATTGATTTTTTTTTTTCTTCATTTCTTTGAAGCTTTATCTGAAAGCACAGCAATAGTGAGTTATTTCTGTAATATCACACAATGTACTTAGAAAACTATTTTTCTATCAAACATTTTTGTAAAAGCTGTATCTGATTTTATGCAACTTGTGATAATAAATGTTATTTTTATTTTAGAATAAAAACTGAATAAGTCTTTCCTCATAGAACAAATTCAGACATATCTGCTGAAAGAGACATTTAAGATGTATATAAATATTTAACAGCAGTTCTTCCCTTGATGTTTACCTAGGTCAGTAGAACTCAGAACTTCAAACTGTTAAAGCCTTCAGTGGAGCGTCAGAGGCAAGAGCACATTCTAGTTTAGACATAACTGAACATATTACTGTAAGTAGACCTTTTCCTCAGCATGACTATTATAATGAAAGGAGATTCTGCAGAAACTGACATATAATAGTCAAGGAAGACTAAGGCAGGAATTTAATCTAAACAAGCAAGGAACACAGAGTTGATGTCCAAGTCAGAATTGGGTTTCTTGGAATCTAAGCTATAAATTTAGCATAATTTGGAGCGTGTGGCCTATAGGGATTTACAACACTGTGCTCAGAGAGCCCCAAAATAGCATGGAAACTAATTTGGGCTACAATGCTATCACTACACAAAGCATAAGATTCAATTTTTGTTTCACTTCTGGGAGACTATATATAAATACCTTTCCATCAATCACATTTACTTACACCACAACTCTTCCTTCAGCACCTGTGTTTGACTCCAGTACTTACAAACAGGTCTGAGGGCAACCAAATATTAGTTGTACTTCCACAAGTACTAACCTTAAATTTTTAAATAATCTCCTACTTTTTATCAAAGGCAGAGAGGTTGGTAATCATGCAGGTTTCCCCTGTCAGCGTTTCTAGCCTGACAGCAAATTGGCATACAGACTGAATCATGCTCATACCATCAGTGCCAACTTAAGTCTTGTGATGTAGAAGCATCCACTAGGAAGGGGAAGGACTAGAGCTTGATTTCCAGACATTACTGAACAGCCGTCATATGGTAATGACTTTTAACCAGTAACCTTGAGGTGAAAGGTTCCATTATCCTGCTAGCAACTGTAAACAGAACAAGTTGGTCTTTCCCCCCTCTCAGCAGCATTCTGAAGCAGCTGCCTCCAGATTTCTTCAGGAAAGGGAGCATTTAAAAAAAAAAAAAAAAAAACCACAAAGGAACTGTTGTGGCATTGAAATGAACAATTAACATTCCTGTTCTTTTACCTGGTAGTTTCTTCTCTATAGGTTTCTGATCAGGTTTGTCCGGACATTTAATTGTCAAAGCTTTAAAATAAAATGAGACAAAAAGTCAGTCATAATGAGAAGTGTAACTGAAGTTTGAGCACAATTCCATTATATGAACTTTAGATCCACTGGTACCAGGCATTAATTTGTTTCTTTAAGTGTGAATACAATTTGCATAAATCCTTAGGGCACTTAGTAAGTTGGAATTCCCTGCATGCTAAGTGAGCTGCAAAGACAAATAGTGAATGTGCCAGTTAGGATGGATTAAAAAAAAAAATCAAATGTTCTAAAGTCATTCCGCTCCCCCCTGAGAAGGACATGATATGACTTTGACATGATTTTTTTTATCATTTGGGAATGCACATCCCAGAAAGCTAAAACTCAGGCTGCCACTCTCCCAAGCCCCCAATAAAAAGGGAGGATGTTGAATATTAGGCAGCATTAAAAAAAACAAAAACAAAAAATCTATATAAATGCCCAATCAATCACATTTAACAACCTTAGTATGTGGAAGTCCTAACCTGCAAATTTGGTTTCTACTGGCATGGATCTACTGCTTTGGACAGAAGTCCTAAATCATGGGTACTTCTGTTCAAGTCAGCAGAATGAAGGCTTTTGTTTCCCCTTAAACTGGCTGAATTGAACTCATGGCTGGAATCTGGAGCCTGCCTCCTCACCCCAAAAATTAAAAGAGTAATGCTCTGGTTGGAAAGGCCAAGGATAATTACACTCATCTGTAAGGCTGAGTCTCTGAAGGTATTAATCTGACTGGATTCTGACTCTTGGGTCTTAGCTCCGTAGCCCAAGGCAGGCTGTAACTACTAGCTCTCACAGATCTTGGATCATAGTGTTTCTGGCATGCAGATGGGGGATAAAGGGACATGAAGGATCAAAGTAGCCCAGTCTAGCCTACCAATCCTTATAGCATATCATGGCTGTAATACCATAATACTTCCTCTTCACCCTCCCTGCTGCATCCCAAAAGTCTGCAGGGATCATATTGTCAAAAAACATCATACATCCAGATAAGTCACAGTTGTACAGTCTGGGAAGCAGCTATGTGGGACCAGAGTTAAGACTGTCTGGGGAACCTTTACAAGGGAGATCCTGACACACATACCATCCTAATAAAGTTGTAAATACATCCATAGAGCCTTAACTATCACTTTGTTTCTGGGAAGTGTATTCAACTTCAAGATGAACTGGAAGGCAATTTTTGTGCCCTTTACTGTTCCTTTTTGGTGTACAACTTGGCTTCAGTGGTACTTAAAGCACCTATTCCTTACTGCTCCAGGGAGAGTATTTTAAATGCAGAATATATAATTTTATTGATTTCTGGCCTCTTACTTAGCAGCTGATTTTTCAGAATGAAAGGCTGTTGTCGTTTCAGTTCACCTTCTTCAGGAGCACCATATTCTGTTAATAAAAAACATACACAGAACAAAAGAAAGTTGTGTAGATATTTCAGCTAAAATTCTCTCTCCAGTTTAAGTCATCGCATAGGAAAACTTTCCGGTAATTGTCTGTGGGACAACATGGTATCCAGGTCATGCAATGACCATGAAACTCTACTGCCTCTCACTGTTATGCTACCATAGGAGCTAAGCAGTCCTGCTTTCCGCAGTCCAGGAGCTCAGTAGCTGGGCTCCAGCAGTGCTGTGAGCTAAAAACATCAATTAGCAGATCTCAACTCTTGTAAACATGATAATACTGAGAATAATTTCACTCATTTTCAATAATCACCTTTTTTAAAAAAAGAGGCTTATAGAGAAGATTTTTCAGCATGGAACAGCAACTTGGATACTGGGCATTTAAAAGGCAAAATAGGATGCCTGAAGTATTCATCTGTTTGTCAAAACCCAGAACACTTTTCCAACTCACATCCATTTCTTAGTTGCAGTGAGAGCACCCCAGGAACTAACAGTCTGTGTGCAGCTGTGGCCAGCATGCTCCTGTGCTTGTAGTAACATATATCTGAACAATGTTATTGACTAATTAAAGAAAACCAAGCAAGAAGGTAGTTGTAAAGCAGGGCCAAAGAGCTGCAGCACAAAAGTAAGGGTCACAATTTAACAGCAAGACAGTTCAATCAGTAGAGCAATGCAATTCAGAAGTTCAGTCTGAGGGACTGGACTCCACAAGCCCTTTTGCGAGCTGAAAAAGTGACTGAGAAGGCAGCCTCTCCTATGTCTGTCTTTACTGTAGTGGGATATAATCAGGGACAGTTTATGGACACTGCCACTTTAGATACTGAAGGAAAATGGAACAAGGAGCTACCTACGTAATGGGAAATGGAGGATTAGAATTTGGTTGGATATGCAAGAAATCAGAAGACAACATACACAAGAAGCTATTTGATTAACTCCACAGAAGCTCTTTGTCTTACAAGAAATTCAACTGCACTTAACCTACAGGAGGAGCTGCCAGGGCATAGGATCATACCTCCAGCCTGATGGAGTGCTCCTTTGGCTGAAATTTCTGGAAAGTTACTAACAGTCATTAAGAAGGACAGGGATGCAACCTCATGCTGCGAGTGTCCCTAGCCTGTTGCCAGAAGCTGGGAATGGTCCACAAAGGATGGATCACTTGATGATTGCCCTTTCCATTCATTCCATCTGAAGCACCTGGCATTGGCCACTGTCAGAAGACAGGCTACCGAGCTAGATGGACCATTGGTCTGCTCCAGTCTGCCTACCAAGACCACCTGGTTGATTTCTAGGGGGCCTCTCCTATGTTATTACTGGAAGACCCCCTAGAAATCAACCAGGTGGTCTTGGTAGGCACGTGGGCTGTAAATAGCTCCTTAAAGTTAGCTTGCCTGGCTGCCCAGACAGTACAGGACTGCAGCAGGGCAGTGACAACTTAAAGATATTCCTGTCCTGCAAAAACTGTAAACTTAAAGGGAAAGGAGCAGAGTGCCAGTGTCAGAGGGCTGTTTTGGAACTAATTAGAAGCAGTAACACTGGAGATTGGGAGAATGACCACAGAACCGTTGACCGTCCTGCAGTTCTGCATGCTGGCCTTTTCCAAACCCGTAAGCATGTGGGCAGAAAGGTCCTTATATTGCTTGACCTTGTTTTTGTTTTCTTCCTTTCTCTTCAAATATGGTAAGTTGAAAAAATAAATGAGGCCCCCAGAACAGAAGGACAAATAATTAAAAGATCTCTGCCACCTCTGTACACTGAAAACATCAGAACATACATAATACCAAAGCAGGGAAATCTTCATTTCACCTCGACTGTACTTACTAAGGCAGAGTAACTGGTACCTAGGATGAGCAGCAAGAAATTCCTCATTTGGTCTGTTTTTGTCTGGATTCTGATTTCCACCAGCCGTTATCCAGTCATTGCCAAACATTTTGCGATAGTCAAGCTCTGCTCCCTTTCTTTCATCAGGAAAGATCTATATTGACAAGTACAAAACACTTACTGTGTCACTAAACTACATTTCCAAAAAAAACCCAAGTTCATGATCCTTCAAGAGTCAAGATTTCTAGATATTAGTTACTTGTATGTTCAACACCTTATAAAACTGCAAAGAGTCTGGAAAAATCTCAACTCCCACAACCGATTCAGATTCAGTTTAGTCAATGTCGTCAGTGCTCTTCAGAGTACAGCCTGAAAACACTATTATGAGGTATGAAAGCTCAGAGCACAATGATTTCTTAACTATGGAACATGGTTTTGAAAGTTCTCTTTATATTTTCAACATCTCCCAGCATCAATTATTACAATGATACTGTATTTTGAAAAGGACAACACTGAGGTTGTCATGTGTACATATGTTATAATTTCTGACCTGAAAAGGGGGAAAGGAAAAAATGGCAAGCTACTTTAAATGGTTTTGTTAAACCTATTTAACTCAAAAGTTCTATGTAGGGGGAGAAAGATCCATTTGTGACATCAATAGGACTTAGGGTAAATTTTTCAAAAATACCTAAGTGTCTTGCCCAAGGTTACAATGAGTTAATAGCAAAGCCAAGAACAGAATCCAGGGTTTCCTGACTCTGTCCATTTTCAAAGTGAAGGTTTCCAGCTATACACATGCATTCATTGAGACAGGGAAGAAACTCCAGACACCCTCCCACTTTCCCAAATGCTTTTACAGTGACACTTTTTCCAGAATCCTTTGTGAGATTAGTTGAAAAAAACATCACATACCTCAGATTTGTTCAGAACCTTTAATTGGCCTATTTTGGCAATGATAAGCTGCCTCACGGTCTCTGGGCTCTTCTCTGTGCCCATCAAAGGGTTATTCTGACAGTGCAGTGACTGCAAACATTGTAGCTTATCAAGCTCATTGATAAATGACCACTGGAATGAAAAGGGAAAAGAATTGCAAAATTGGATTTTTTTTTTTTTTTTTTTTTTTTAAAGAAAAATGTCTGACCAAAACAGCACATGGTCCGGACAGACACTACCACACACAGACCATCATCAGTGACACTTCTCTTGTTAGCCGACCCTAATCTTTTTTTGTTGTTTAAATTTCAACACAACCTACTTTACTGAATACCACTTTCATCTTGCTTCACTTAGCTTATAAAAATGAAAGACACTTCGAAGGAACTGAAAGATAAACAGGTGGAATAGCAAACAGGGCATGGATGGAGTTTTCAGTGGGTGTAAATTATTGATACATATTAGAGCATCAACATTCCAGAAAGGCTTTCTACTCATTGTATGTAGAGATTCCTGGAATTGAGGTGTGAAGCTTGGCCTAGATGTGACATTGCTTCCCATGGCACAGTTCAATTATTTTGAGGAGCTTTCTGTCCATTTTATTTTTTGAAGTGCCTCCTTCCCAATGCACTCAGAGCATGACTGTCTACAGAAACCCATTAATTTAATATTATACTGGGGGAATCACATGATGCAAGAGGTAGCAATGTTCTCTGCAGGGTTAGGTGGTGACGAGACTAGAATTGCAGGGAATCATGCTGGAGAAGGTACAGCAGGGCCTATGGGTAGGTCCACACTGCAATTAAAAATCCAGGGCTGGTGCATTTCAGCTGACTCAGGTTCATGGGGCTTGGGCTGCAGGGCTGTTTAACTGCAGTGCAGACGTCTGGGCTCGGGCTGGAGCCTGAGTTCTAGGAGCCTGTGAGATGGGAGGGTCCCAGAGCTCGGGCTGAAGCTCAGCCCAAACATCTACACCACAATTAAACAGCCCCATGAGCCCGAGTCAGTTGGCACAGGCCAGCTGTGGGTGTCTAACTGCCATGTAGACATACCCTAACAGAGCAGGTAAGAGACATGATCCGGATCAATATATGAAAGGTCAACTGAAAAGAGAAAGTTTGTAACAAATGGTCATGGATGATGAAATGATGAGAAAAAAGAAAGGTCTAGGAAGGGTGCATGTGTATAATGTACAAGTGAAGAAGGGATAGGAAAGTGGAGTTCAGGAATTAGAGATAGTTCCGCAGTTTTGGCCTCTTGATGACTTAGTTTGAAGAAGCTAGGTAAGTGGATAAGAGAATTTGAGATGAAGGCAGATTATGTCATGGATAGGATGAAAAGTGATAGGGTTTATTTGAACTTGACATTTCCAAGCTCTCAAACCATGGAGGGGGATTAGAAGGAGCAATATAGCTGTGACCTAAAGATAATTACAGTAGACGTTCATTAGTAGCAATGTATCAGTGCCCTTTTGCTATGTTACTCCTAAGCAGCTGTTGCTGTTATAGGGAGTGTCGACAATTCACAGTAGTGAAAGTGTTCCCTGGGGAAATGTTGCTTGTACATGGCACTTGCTCTTACAAAGGTGTTGCTGCAAACAAGCATCTATTGTATTATGATGCCACTTCTGGAACATGAGCATTTGCATTTAATTTTAATTTATCAGACAAGAAATCCAATTCATTCTCTGCACGTATATCTAGTGAGCAATGATTTTGCCAATTTCTAACTACAGTTAATATATCTATATAGAAAATACAAGCTTTCCAACTAATTTAAAAGGGAACCCAAACAGTGGCAGTGTCTCTATACTCCCTAGCAGTCACCTGATTCCTATCCAACTTAATGCTCAAGGAACTGCACATCAGGTATGATCATATTTTGTCATTGGTTTAGCTTAATGAATCATTTTAAACAATATAAGAACACTGTAATCCTTAAAAGAATAATTTAAATCAAAGAAACATATCTCTCAGGATGCACTTCCTTTTGGTATCCGTAAGCCTTGCTATCAAAGGTCATGTGATCCAGTTCCCAATTAATCTTTGAGTAAGTTGGGATAGTAACCTCAAAGCCCAACCCCGAACATCCTCTACTTCCATTAAAGAGACAAAGCCCCTACCACATTATGGGGGCACTAGGACCCAGATGGTACCCCCCACACACCTGACCTCAGGGGAAAACTGCAGAGAGGAGCCAGCCAAAGACTCCAGCCAGTTGGGGCAGAAACAGCCAAAGCAGGGACCTCTAGGCATTCCAACAATTTCCTACAGTTGAAACTTTCTCTGCTCTGTGCTGACTAGCTATTTGCTCAAACGCTCCAACTCCCTCAGTCTCTTCACACCCACCCCTCTCACTATCTACTCCCCTGCCCCGTCCCCTCGCCCCCTTCCCTTTTCTTTCCATTTAGCTAAACCTATCCTAAATAAACCACCCCCCACCCCACCAAAAAAATAATGAAACTAACCTGCCATTTGCCACCATCACATTGTTCACTTTGCTTCCCCCACCCTGTGTCAGTCTGGTCTAATTAGCAGACAAGCTCTTCAGGCAGGGACCACCTACTACTCTGTCTGCACAGTCTGAACATTCCTGGCTGGCCATAGGCACTACCATAATAATAATAATAGTAACTCATTATCAACCATGGTTAAGTCAACAGGAGAGGAGGACATAAAGCACCTTTCAGCATGGGTCCCTTCTAGGGCTGTCGATTAATCGCAGTTATCTAACACTATTAACTCAAAAAAAAATTGTGATTAAAATTAATCTTGATTAATCGCAATTTTAATTACACTGTTAACAATAGAATACCAATTGAAATTTAAATATTTTGGATGTTTTTCTACATTTTCAAATACACGGATTTACAACAATTACAACACAGAATGCAAAATGTACAGTGCTCACTTTTTATTACAAATATTTGCACTGTAAAAAATGATAAACAAAAGAAATAGTATTTTTCAATTCACCTCATACAAGTACTGTAGTGCAATCTCTTTATCGTGAAAGCACATCTTACAAGTAGAATTTGTTACATAAGTGCACTCAAAAACAAAACAATGTAAAACTTCAGAGCCTACAAGTCCACTCAGTCCTACTTCTTGTTCAGCCAATTGCTAAGCCAAACAAGTTTGTTTACATGTACGGGAGATAATGCTGTCCGCTTCTTATTTACAACGTCACCTGAAAGTGAGAACAGGTGTTTGCATGGCACTTTTATAGCCAGCATTGCAAGGTATTTACGTGCCAGATATGCTAAAAATTCATATGCCCCTTCATGCTTCGGCCACCATTTCAGAGGACATGCTTCCATGTCAATGACACTTGTTAAAAAAATAATGCATTAATTAAATTTGTGACTGAACGCCTTGGGGGAGAATTGTATGTCTCTTGTTCTGTTTTACCCGCATTCTGCCATATATTTCATGTTATAGCAGTCTCGTATGATGACCCAGCACATTGTTTGTTTTCAGAACACTTTTACTGCAGATTTGACAAAACGCAAAGAAGGTACCAACGTGAGATTTCTAAAGATAGCATGCTCCACACCCCGTCCCTCTCAGATTTTGGACAGCACTTCAGATTCTTAAACCTTGGGTCGAGTGCAGTAGCTATCATAAAAGTCTTAAAAGAGCAACACTCTGATGCAGAAATTAGAGAACCCGAACTACCAAAAAAGAAAACCAACCTTCTGCTGGTGGCTTCAGACTCAGATGATGAAAATGAACATGTGTGGGTCCGCACTGCTTTGGATCCTTATCGAGCCGAACCCATCATCAGCATGGACACATCCTCTGGAATGGTGGTTGAAGAATGAAGGGACATATGAATTTTTAGCGCATCTGGCACGTAAATATCTTGCAATGCCAGCTACAACAGAGCCATCCGAACACCTGTTCTCATTTTCAAGTGACCTTGTAAACAAGAAGCAGGCAGCATTATCTCCTGCAAATATAAATAAACTTGTTTGTCTGAGCGATTGGCTGAACAAATAGTAGGACTGAGTGGACTTTTAGGCTCTAAAGTTTTATATTGTTTTCTTTTTGAATACAGGTTTTTTTGTATATAATTCTACATTTGTAAGTTCAACTTTCATGATAAAGAGACTGTACTACACTACTTGTATTAGATGAATTGAAAAATACTATTTTGTTTTTTACAGTGCAAATATTTGTAATAAAAAATAAATATAAAGTGAGCACTATACACTTTGTATCCTGTGCTGTAATTGAAAACAATATATTTGAAAATGTAGAAAACATTCAAGAATATTTAAATAAATGGTATTCTATTATTGTTTAAACGCGAGATTAATTTTTTTTAATCGCTTGACAGCCCTAGCCCCTTCATATCCTTTACCGGGAGAGTATACGTACAATATAAATAGATCTTTTGTACACGTGCCTTTCACAAAAGCAATGATGATGCAATTTCCTTCGTCAAATAAGAAACATGATAAGCTGGTAGCACAAGAGTAATGTTTCACTTAGAAAGGCAATGGAGAAGACCATGAATAAGAACTTAAGAATGGCCATACTGGGTCAGACCAATAGTCCATCTAGCCCAGTATCCTGTCTTCCAACAGTGGCCAATGCCAGGTTTCCCAGAGGGAATGAACAGAACAGGTAATCATCAAGTGATCCATCCTGTCGCCCATTTCCAGCATCTGGCCCAAAGAGTCTAGGGACACTTCAGAGCCTTGTTTTGCATCCCTACCCATCCTGGCTAATAGTCATTGATGGACCTATCCTCCATGAACTTATCTAATTCTTTTTTGAGCTCTGTTACAGTCTTAGCCTTCACAACATCCTCTGGCAAGGAGTTCCACAGGTTGACTGTGCATTGTGTGATGAAATACTTCCTTTTGTTTTAAACCTGCTGCCTATTAATTTCATTTGGTGACCCCCCAGTTCTTGTGTTGTGAAAAGGAGTAAATAACATTTACTTCCTCCACACCAGTCATGATTTTATAGACCTCTATCATATCCCCCCTTAGTTGTCTCTTTTCCAAGCTGAAAAGTCCCAATCTTATTAATCTCGCCTCATACGGAAGCTGTTCTATACACCTAATCATTTTTGTTGTCCTTTTCTGTACCTTTTCCAATTCCAATGTATCTTTTTTGAGATGGGCCAGATTTGCATGCAGTATTCCAGATGTGGGCATACCATGGATTTATATAGAAGCATTATGATATTTTCTGTCTTATTATCTATCCCTTTCCTAATGATTCCCAACATTCTGTTTGCTTTTTTAACTGCCACTGCACAGAGTGGATGTTTTCAGACAACTATCCACAATGACTTCAAGATCTTTCTTGAGAGGTAGCAGCTAATTTAGATCCCATCATTTTATATGCATAGTTGGGATTATGTTTTCCAATGTGCACTACTTTTCATTTATCAACATTGAATTTCATCTGCCATTTTGTTGACCAGTCATGGTAACTCATGAGACTTCTGCTCTCTGAGTGATAAATTTCTTATTTGACTGCATTTAGGTAACATGGGAGGAGACAATAGTATTGCATAGGACAAGCAATTTAGAAGCCAGCTGGGCTTAACTTTCTGGTGCCCCTCTAACTGCCAGAGCAAGAAAACTGGTAGAAAATAGCAGCCTGTATCAAGAGGCTAGAGAACATCTGACGAAGGCCTTTGTCCTTGGTCTGAAATACTTTATCACTGGAGGAAGAATAAAAGAGTAAACATTGCTAGCCACAAGACACCATTGCTTGGAATGGAGAAGAGTAAAAAACAAAACCACATCACCAAAACACTACTGTTATTAATGCTAAAGCCGCAATCCTTCCCACACTAAACTGTGCAAGTCCCCAAGATTTTAGAACCGCAGTCCCTACCTGCTTTTAAATTTCTTGTCCCAGCTTCAACTTGAAATTGTTCAATGACTGAGTAATAGTATGTGGCACTACTAACTGGGAGAATCATACTCATACTTCAAACAAATGGACATTATCACAGAGCTATTCTGCAGAAATGGTAAATTCATCGATCTCACAGTCCGCCCATATGACAAGACAGACACCGTGGGAAAGACATACACTATCCTAGACAATTCATAGATTCCAAGAACAAAAGGGACCATTTCAATCATCTCATCCGACCATCTGTATAACACAGAACTTCCTCAAAATAATTCCTAGAGCAGATCTTTTAGAAAAATATCTGATCTTGATTTTAAAATGGTCAGTGATGGAAAATCCACCATGATCCTTGGTAAATTGTTCCAATGGCTAATTACTCTCAGTAAAAAAATTTACACCTTACTTACAGTCTGAATTTGTCTAGCTTCAACTTCTAGCCATTGGATCGTGTTATATGTTTCTCTGCTAGACTGAAGAGTTCATTATTAAATGTTTTTTCCCCATGTCAATTCTTATAGACTAATCATGTCACCCCTTAACCTCCCCTTTGTTAGACTCAAAGAGCTGAATCTAATTAGCTTATCACAGACATAGTTTTTAATCCTTTAATCATTCTCATGCCTGTTCCTGAATCCCCTCCAATTCATCAACATCCTTCTTGAATTGTAGGCACCAGAACTGGACACAGTATAGCAGCAGTAGTTGCACCAGTGCCAAACAGAGGTAAAATAACTTCTCTACTCATACTCAAAAGTCCCCTGTTTGTGCATCCAAGCATCCCATTAGCTCTTTTGGCCACAGCGCCACATTGGGAGCTTATGTTCAGCTGATTATCCACCATGACCCCTAATCTTTTTCAAAGTCACTACTTCCCAGGATAGAATCCCCCATCACGTAAGTATATCCTACGTCCTTTGTTCCTAGATGTACACATTTACATTTAGCTGTATTAAAACGCATATTGTTTGCATGCGCCTAGTTTACCAAGCAATCGAGACTGCTCGAATCAGTGACCGGTCCGCTTCATTATTTACCATTTCCCCAATTTTGGGTCATCTGCAAATGATTATCAGTGATGATTTTATGTTTTCTTCCAGACACAGAAGGGACATTTGTCTAGGTAAAATTCTGTTTTTCCCTTTACCAGTTAGATCGATTACTAATATCACCACCATGGACTATTAACACTGAAAAACCATTTTGAAATCCAATATAATTTTTCATCATTTGTTTGTTTACTTCTTGCAATTCACTGAAGCACAAAACAGTTAAACTTTATAGGTCTGTCAATTTCACTTTCAGCTACTCAAGCACTAGAAGAATGCTGAGGTGTTTGGATTCCATTCAATGCATGGGAATGGCTAAAGGCCACAAACAGTTCTCAGCAATTTATTTAAAAAAAAAAAAAAAAATCCTCTCTGTTAAAGCTGAGTTTTGAAAAGCTTTTAAAAAAAAATCTAACTAAAGCTAGATATTGATCAAAGAATTTGACATAGGTTTTTTGCCATTACATAATACATAATCAGGGAAAATGAAAAAGCAATTTTACAAATTCTTGTTAAACAAAAAAGTAAAGAAATGTGAAAATCACCAAAACTCTTTCTTACTTGCGATATTTTATTGTCATCTACTGCAAGACGTTGTAATAAAGGAAACATTTTAGTCTTGCATCCTAGGAAAAGGAGAATAAATTTAAAAGACATCAGTGACGATCTAAAATATAGAAATATAATACAGTGCTTACTTTACTTACCAAATCCACCATCAGGAAAGTGTATAGAAGAAATTCCAGTGTTTGAAAGAATTAGTTGTTCTAATCTGAAATTTAGAAGTTAAAGTACATCTGTTAAAAAGATTTTAGTAAAAATACTGAAGTTTTTACGTGATACAACCCGTGTTAGCTTTTTGACAGCATGCCTTGTGATTTTAAGAACAATGTTACCAACTTCACAGCTGGTAACCAAAGTTTAAAAGGCAGTTTACGGAAGGACAGCAGTGGAGTTCCAAGCTTTCAAAATGGCAGATTGCTTTGGAGGTACTAATCTTCACAATGGCTTGATTTTTTGTTTAAAATAGTCTACTGCTCCCTTCCCTTATGAACCTTATTTTTGGTATAACAGTTTAAGTAACTTTGCAACTGATCATTCATCAGGTTCCACATATTTGAATGGACACAGAAGTAGATGAAGTTGAGTAGGGAGAAAACAGTATTTTTTCCTAAATCACATACCCAAGTGCAAAGTGGCATTTCACGCCAGCTCAGCACTGTAACTACCAAGATGCTGCTGTGCAGGAATCTATGGAACAAGATGTTATCACTACAAAAGACCCCAGAGCTTTTCAGCAAGATGGAAACATTCTTAAAGCAGGCACTCCAGGACAAATACCAAAGTTTTGAATCCCAGTAATAGGAAGCATCAAGATGCTGGGTTGGTTTTTTTGTTTTTTTTAATATCAAGGCATTCTTCAGACCAGGATATTACTGCTTTAGGAAAGGTTCTAAATGGGATTTTTCCATACAGCCAATTTTGTATTCTTGACTTGTTTGAAATTTCCATTAAAATCCACTCTTCACATAGATTAAGAATGTTAGAAACTTGGATTTTTAATCAAACAATTTTTGAAAATCCTGCGAACAATTTTGAGTACGGCATTCTTTCCACATATTAACAAGATTTCTCCAAAGCTAACAAAGATATCATTAATAGAATTCATGTCAATCCTAAAACATACATGTTCTTAGCCAGTTGAAGATACGTATGATCATCTGAGGCAAGCCGAGTGTAGGACCTGGAAAGCCTTCTCTACAACACACTCCTATTCAGGAGAGAGAGTGGTCCCAAAACCACAAACCACCTGCATTTGTAGAGCTGCCCTTGAGATGGAGGAGAAAAGGGTGTGGAATTGGAGAACTCTTATAAAAACATTCTGTCCCGCACACCCTTCTCCTATTTTGGGTCACGTCCTCTCTCCCCACCTCACGCCACCTTGGAGGCATGCAGTCTGCAAGTGTAGCATCACCCAGGGAAGAAGTAAGGAAGGGCCTTAGGGCTGGTCTACATTCAAAAGCTAGGTTGACCTAGCTACGTCACTCAGGGGTGTGAAAAAATGAGAGACACAGTTAATCCTAAGCCCCAGGGTAGACAGTGCTAGAAGTCTTCCATTGACCTAGCTACCACCTCTTGGGGAGGTGGATTCACCACAGCAATGGAAGAACCCCTTCCATCACTGTAGTAAGTGTCTACACTGCAGTCTACAGCAGTGAAGCACCTGTGCTGCTGTAGCATTTCTAGTTTAAGAAAAGGTTACTTAAGGCTTATCTACACAGGGAGATTTGTCAGTATAGCTATAGTGGTATAATTATACTGAAACAGCTGTGACAAAGTTCCTCCTCTGCCTTGGTGAGTCCTGTGCTTATTGGTGGATTTTCCTTGCCTCAGACATTCATGGCAGCCCTCAGTTTGGCCACTTTTGCTAGTGGCTCAAACCTGCCGTCCACTCAGCTAATTTCATCACTGGCCAGGCATGGGGGGAAAAACGGAGAACAATCCCCCACAGTCTCTGTGTCCCACCTAGTGGGTTGGGGACAGGCCAGGACCCTTTCCAATTTAGACCTTCCCTTCTGGTGTTTCCTCACAGACCAGGTCAATCCTCCTGTGTCCGATCAGGAGTTGGAAGGGATGGGGGGAACCCGGGCCCACCGTCTACACCGGGTTCCAGCCCAGGGCCCTGTGGACAGCAGCTGTCTACAATGTTCCCTGTGTGACAGCTACAGCTACACTTCCCTGGGCTACTTCCCCCAGCACCTTCTTTATCCTCACTGCAGGATCTTCCTCCTGAAGCCTGATCATGCTTGAACTCTTCACTCCTCCAGCAGCACGCCTTCTCGCTCCTTGCGTGCCCCCCTACTAACTGATGGGAGGTCCTTTTTAAACCAGGTGTCCTGATTAGCCTGCCTGCCATAATTGATTCTAGAAAGTTCTTAATTGGCTCCAGGTGTCTTGATTAGCTTGCCTGTCTTAATTGGTTCTAGCAGATTCCTGATTGCTCTAGGGCAGCCCCTGCTCTGGTCACTCAGGGAACAGAAAACTGTTCATCCAGTGACCAGTATATTTGCCTTCTACCAGACCCCTGTACCCCACTGGCCTGGGTCTGTCACACAGCTATGTTGGTATAATTCCCTATGTGGATGGACACACTGTTTTGGGATTTAGGGTACACCTACACCAGGGGTGAGCAAACTACAGCCCACATCCAGCCCGCCAGACGATTTAATCTGGCCCTCGAGCTCCTGCTGGGGAGCGGGGTCTGGGGCTTGCCACACTCCTGTGCTCCAGGCAGGGAGCGGGGTCGGGGGCTGCTTCACACACATATGCCACGGCTCCGCACAGCTCCCGGAAGCAGCAGCATGCCCCCCCCTCCAGCTCCTACGTTTAGGGGCAGACAGGGGGCTCCGCGTGCTGCCGTCGCCCAAGCGCCACCCCCGCAGCTCCCATTGGCCAGGAACTGCAGCTAATGGGAGCTGCAGGGGCGGCACCTGCAGATGGGACAGTGAGCAGAGCTGCCTGGCTGTGCCTCCGCGTAGGAGCTGGAGGCGGGACATGCCGCTGCTTCCGGGAGCTGCTTGAGGTAAGCACTGCCCAGAGCCTGCCCAGAGCCCCTCCCACACCCCAACCCCCTGCCCTGATCCCTCTCCTGCCCTCCGAACCCCTTGATCCCAGCCCAGACCACCCTCCTGCACCCCAAACCCCTCATCCCCAGCCCCACAGCCCACATCTCCAGCCGGAGCCCTCACCCGTCCCCTGCACTCCAACCTCCTGCCCCAGCCCGGACCCCACCTCGCGCACCCTGAATTCATTTCTGGCCACACACCCAGCCAGAGCCCTCATCCCTTCCTGCAACCCAATCCCAATTTCGTGAGCATTCATGGCCCACCATACAATTTCCATACCCAGATGTGGCCCTCGGGCCAAGAATTTTGCCCACCCCGGCCTACACTGTAATCAGAGGTGTGACTACTGCACACGTAGACATAGCTAGATCAAAGCTAGCTTGGGTAACTCAAATAACAGCAGTGACATCTCGAACAACAGCAGCAGTGAAAGGTGTGACTGCAGTGTACACATAGCCTCAGCGTGCTTTTTTTTTGGTTTAACATGTGTCTTTTTGGAAGTTGTTAACCTAAACCAAAAAAAGGCACTTTAAATCCAAAAAGAAAGCATCCATACAGGGAATAACAGCAGCAAATAATTATACTAGTGTAGGTATGCTGGTAAATTTCCCAGTGTGGACAAACTCTTAGGCTTGGTCTATACTTAAAATTTGTATTGGCATAGCTACTGCGGGATGTGAAAAAACCACGCCCGAGTGACACAGCTGTGCTGACATAATCCTCATTGTAGAAGCAGCTATACTGACAGAAGAGGGCTTCTGTTGGCATAGGTAATGTCATTCGGGAAGATGGTGTTCCTGCCCCAGCAGAAAAACTCCTGTTGGTGTAAGTTACATCTACACTAGGGGATTATGCTGGCATAGCTATGCTGACATAGGCTCTGTAGCGTAGCCATAGTCCTAGTGTTAACTGGGGAGAGGAGCAAGAGGTGGGTGGAAATGCCTTCTTCTGTGCGATTGTAGGGATTAAAAGTGAGGCTCTGCCTCCATCCCTGTCTGATCACCCTTTTTTTTTTTTTAGAAGGAAGGAGAGAAGACAAATAATTTTGTGGGATCCTTTCATCTCCATGGCTAAAAGACAAGAGCTGCCAGCCAATTAAACATCCTTGGTTGAATATGTGACCACCTATAAAAATCTCTGGTTGACTGCATGCCAATCAGAATAGTAATCCATTCAATGTGTTGCCCAACATCATTTCCCAGAATCAGACTGACATATAGGAAGGGAGTGGTCATATGTAGTTATTTAATGCATTTAATAACAACTGGCATTATGTATCCACTACCAAAGAATTGCCCCTCTAAATCAGGAGCAATCTCCAAAGCTCCTTATCATAGGAAGCCCACTGAGGTTCTAAGAGCTAGTTGTCCTGAAAAGGGTTCTCTCTATGTTTTGGTCCTATAATTGCAATATCTGAACTTCAAACTGTTGTTTAAAAAATAAATAAATCACTAATTCCATAAATATCTTAATAAAAACATGCTTTAATTAAATCTTAAAATAAAATTAAATCCTTCCCCAGATTATGTTAAATAGTTCAGATATTCTCCACAAAAGAGCAAAAAAACCTTCATTTTCAAAATTCTGTAACCTTCACTAGCAAGGCAATATTATCATGCTTCAAACCACAAAGCATACGTGAATGAATCCATTTACAGAGCATGACAAAGAATTTACAGTAAAGTTCTTTAACAATTACCTGGGGAGATATGCTATTAGCTGCAGTTGACTTCCATCAATTAATTGGTTGTTTGAAAGGTCTAACAATTTCAAGGTCTGTAGAACATTAATGGGTCTGTAAGCATTACAAAAAATGCAATTATGTTTTTAAATGGTTTTAAACTATTTACACTCATATACACACACAATATAATAAAATCAGTGTGTTCACACATAAGTATCCCAAATCACACAGTATGTTAACATCTCCTTTGCAAGATTACCAGGGTAATGCTAATTTAACTCACTACTGGAATTTAGTTAGATTTTTATCAGACATGGCATATAACTTTATGCATACAGTATATTAATCACAAAAGGATGACTTTAGCATTTAAAGCTAAACCTCATACCTTTCTAAAACTGTAATATCATTAGAAGCAAGGTACAATTCTTCAAGTGCTGGCCACTCTGGAGAACACAGAAGAACCTAATAGGAAAAACTTTATTTAGTATAACTGTATATATGCCAGAATCTGTGCATCACATAAGTTTTACCTAAATCACATTCAAAATATGTCAAAACTATCTAAAATAAGCTATCTGGAATACTGTTTATTTCACTAACCCTTCCTATTTAATAGTAACTATACCTCTGATCCTGTATCTCATCTGCTAGTACAGATGGTAGTCAGTAGGATTCCACACAGCCACAGGATTCACTGTTACTGGACTGGGATCCATATTTCAAAAAGAAAAGGCTGCAGGGAAACCGACAACATTGCCATTTAAATTGTAACTTTAGGATAGTGTCACCCCGTCTTCCCCCATTCTGTGAACCACCATTTTCCATTTGGATTTTCATGTTTGGTTTACAGAATCAAGAACTTGGGAAAACTTTAAGGTTAGCCAAACAAGGCTTTTTCTAAGATATAGGGCTCTGAAAAGTCTCCACTGTTTTCTGTGGAACTATGCCAAATTGGCTTAGCCTAGAAACCTCAAGATTTTATTTTAGTCCTGGATAGGATCTAATGCACAGTATTATTTCTGATAAAGGCAGGTTGACAATTTAATCTATCACTTTTAGGCCAGGCTTATGCTAGGGAAAAGGCCCACTGCTGACACCCTGCGTCAGCAACAAGTCATCTTCCTAGTGTACACAAGGTGTAAAACGAGGGTAACTAACTGAAAAGCAATTTGCACGTTTCCATGCATGGAAAAAACTCAGACTTTCATTTTCCTATGTTAGATCTGAGTTCATAGAAATAGGCTCTATTATACTACCGGATGTTTGTCAGCTCCTTTATAAATACATTAAAACACCTACTATACAAAGTGATGCCAGAACCACATTTCATAAAGAATCTCAATATGGTTATAGCAAAGTGGCTCAGTCACATAAAAATAGCATTAAAAAAAGTCAGTGTTGAAAGGTGAACTGTCAGGCTGGAGGGAGGTTACTAGTGGAGTTCCTCAGGGATCGGTTTTGGGACCAATCTTATTTAATCTTTTTTTTACTGACCTTGGCACAAAAAGTGGGAATGTGCTAATAAAGTTTGCAGATTACACGAAGCTGGGAGGTATTGCCAATACAGAGAAGGACCGGGATATCATACAGGAAGATCTGGATGACCTTGTAAACTGGAGTAATAGTAATAGGATGAAATTTAACAGTGAAAAGTGCAAGGTCATGTATTTAGGGATTAATAACAAGAATTTTTGTTATAAGCTGGGGACGCATCACTTGGAAGTAACAGAGGAGGAGAAGGACCTTGGAGTATTGGCTGATCACAGGATAACTATGAGCCGCCAATGTGATATGGCTGTGAAAAAAGCTAATGCGGTCTTGGGATGCATCAGGCAAGGTATTTCCAGTAGAGATAAGGAGGTGCTAGTACCGTTACACAAGGCACTAGTGAGACCTCATCTGGAATAGTGTGTGCAGTTCTGGTCTCCCATGTTTAAGAAGGATGAATTCAAACTGGAACAGGTACAGAGAAGCGCTATTAGGATGATCCGAGGAATGGAAAACCTGTCTTATGAAAGGACACTCAAAGAGCTTGGCTTGTTTAGCCTAACCAAAAGAAGGCTGAGGGGAGATATGATTGCCCTCTATAAATATATTAGAGGAATAAATACCAGGGAGGGAGAGGAATTATTTAAGCTCAGTACCAATGTGGACACAAGAACAAATGGATATAAACTGACCATCAGGAAGTTTAGACTTGAAATTAGACGAAGGTGTCTAACCATCAGAGGAGTGAAGTTCTGGAACAGCCTTCCAAGGGGAGTAGTGGGGGCAAAAGACATATCTGGCTTCAAGACTAAGCTTGATAAGTTTATGGAGGGGATGGTATGATGGGATAGCCTAATTTTGGCAATTAATTGGTCTTTGACTATTAGCGGTAAATATGCCCAATGGTTTGTGATGGGATGGGATCTGAGTTATTACAGAGAATTCTTTCCTGGGTGTCTGGCTGGTGAGTCTTGCCCACATGCTCAGGGTTTAGCTGATCGCCATATTTGGGGTCGGGAAGGAATCTTCCTCCAGGGCAGATTGGCAGAGGCCCTGGGGGTTTTTCGCCTTCCTCTGCAACATGGGGCATGGGTCATTTGCTAGAAGATGCTCTGCATCTTGAAGTCTTTAAACCATGATTTGAGGACTTCAATGGCTCAGACACAGGTTTGATACAGGAGTGGGTGGGTGAGATTCTGTGGCCTGCGTTGTGCAGGAGGTCAGACTAGATGATCATAATGGTCCCTTCTGACCTTAAAGTCTATGATTCTATGATCTATATTAGAAAAGTTGCACCAGTATAACAAACTGAAAATCAATTTACACAAGCACACACCCTTAACGTAGACACATTAGAACCAGGTTAAACTTCAGATAAACTAAACCTATGTAATTCAGTAATTTACCAAATTACAAATTTAAGTAAATTTACCAATTTAACCTGGTTTAAGTGTGTCTGCATTAGGGTTTCATGCCAGTGTAACAAGCAATTTTAGACTGATTTAATTATACTGGTGCATCTTTTCTCTAATATAGATCAGACTCAACTTTGGAAGATTGTATGATCTAGTGTAAAAGCCCCTATTATGTTTTTACTGACCCATGAAACCAAATGACTAACAAATAAAAACAATTTACTTCATAAATGTAAGAAGCTCATTACCTCTGCCCATGTTACTCCAGTTCGATTAAGTGCCAGAACCCTCAATTTACCAAGTGTACAGGTTATAGAACCAGAATCAGATGGAAATTTCATCTTGTTTTCACTGTATCAAAAGAATAAATAGGTTCTTATTTCTACAGCATAAAACAAACAACTCAATTATTCAACTAAACCACCAATATAGAATTACATATTTCAAAACAAAAAGGAAGACATAGGATTACATGTCATTAAAGAGAGGCACATTGTCAAGGACTTTGTATATTTAAATATTTTCCAACCTATTTAGAAAAATGCCTTGGTAGTTTGAGTGCAAACTCTTTCCTTGCCAATTTTATTTTCCTCTACCATGTATGTATATTTGTTGCCAATCTGAGTTCATCACATATGCTAGCCTGATGGCATTAGGAGTTTTGGATTTTTGGGGGTGGGGTGGGAGAGGAGAGGTTAATTTAAGCACTGAAGCATTAAGGTGGGAAAAGAGAATTATTTGTTACCAGAAATAAAAGTGACAAGTCAAATTTCGGGCCTATCACCCTTGACACTGTATCTTTAGAAACAGATTAAAATGAGGGTTTCAGCAGGAAATTCTTAGAGATTCATTTTATGACAAAATGCCATAGAGATTCCCAGACCTACCTGTCACTTAATGCTCCATTAAAGCATCTACATTTTTAACAGAATGACAAATTAATGTATTTTTTATTGTTAGCAGCTAGCCTTTGTATTGTACATTATTGGGAAAATGCGACTTCTCCTCCTATGAAATAGTGGTATAGTAATATGGACTCTTCTTGTAATGGGAAAGCTTTCACACCAGATATGTACACAAGAGAGGCACCAAAAAGAGGATAGGTATTTAGAAACGTAGCCACCCTTTTTAGTGTACTCCGAACAGGAGGACTCCCCTATCAGAAAGCCAGAATCTTTAACCAGGTTCTTTCAATACCGTGTAAGAACATAAGCACAGCCATAGTGGGTCAGACCACTGGTCCATATAGCCCAGTATCCGGTCTTTCGACAATGGCCAATGCCAGGTGCTTCAGAGGGAATGAACAGAACAGGTAATTATCAACTGATCCAACCCGTCATCCATTCCCAGCTTCTGGCAAACAGAGGCTAGGTACACTTCAGAACATAGTTTTGCATCCTGAATAACTAATAAGTAATGTTCAATGTAGCATGCTAAGGTTTTATTTTAACTTTGCCTTAATAAAAACTTTTTTTGGTAAAGATTAAAACTAAATATTATGCATAAAATGCCAGAACATTGATAAAATAAGGATTTTAAGAACTCAGAGCCACAGAAAAATGTTGACATTAAAGAGTTTATACATGGTGCCATAGTGTCCTTAAACTAACTCTAGGTCCTATTTCCCTCCAAAAATCTCTTTCCTCAGTGCTTGTAGACAGAGGGAAATATACCAGAAGAGCTATGTCAGTATACTAGTATAGATACGCAGGTAAATCTCCCCAAGTAGACAAGCACTTTGAGATTTCATGGCAGGCTTCCCCAGTTTTCATCTGCTCTCACCCTCCCCCTACCAAAATTGTTTATTCCACAATTGTGTACCTATTTCCAATTTTTTTTTTTTATTAAACTGACACCTTCTGACAAAAGGGCCAAATAAATCCAAAAATTCTGTTTGTGTCATGATAAGCATGAATTTTTATACAATCTATTTGAATAGTAACTCCAGAAAATGCTACAAATTTTAAACACTCAAGGATTAAAACTTTATATCAGAGTACTTAAAACTAATTATCTGTGTTCTCTTATTTTTCCTACTTATACTAGTCAAGGCCCTGTATACTCTGCAACAAACTGGGGCTAAATCCTGCAGCAACTTCATTTTGGCAGCATTCTGGTGCTGAATTCTGCGAACAAATGTAAAATCTCCAACAGCTTCAATTTAAAAGTTGGGGTCTTTTTTTAACTGAACTAACTAGGAGAAGGAATACAGTCAGTAAATCATTCCTTTTTTATTTTGATATTAAATTCAGTTTATTTTATGTCACCGTCAAATTTCAGTTTGCCTCAGGTTTTTGTATTGACACAACTGCATTGTACAAATTGTACCATAGAGCCCTTGGATGCTGCTATGGGGACAGCTGTGACTTTTGACACAGAGAAAGGTATGGAAGGTTTTTGGTACCTAGGAGTCTTTTGGTACTGGGGGAGTGTATCTTGGCTTTCCCTACCCTTGTGGATAGGGGAAGAGGTGGCTTAATTTGGGAGTAAGGGAGCCCGAACTCCCAGTTCCCCAAATGTGCAAACCACAACAATAACCAGCAGCCATACTGTCCCTTATCCTAATATTTTGCTATTTCTTCCAACAATGATGGGTAATATTAGCTGAATATTTCTACTTAAAAAGGATCAGCTTTCAAAGTGTTAATGTTACTATTTAAACTGTCACCTTACTGTTTGAGTTAATATACTCCATGCTGATGAACGGAAAAGCCTGTCTCTGAGTTATTGGTTTAAGCGGTCTGCTTACAAACTCGGGAAGACCACAATGTATCAGTTCACATTTGGAGGTTTTCTTAGAGCAGTGGTTCTCAAACTTTTGTATTGGTGACCCCTTTCACATAGCAAGCCTCTGAGTGCGACCCCCCCCTTATACATTAAAAACACTTTTTAATATATTTAACACTATTATAAATGCTGGAGGCAAAGCAGGGTTTGGGGTGGAGGCTGACAGCTCGCAACCCCCCATGTAATAACCTTGCGACCCCCAGAGGGGTCCTGACCCCCAGTTTGAAAACCCCGGTCTTAGAGTGTGTGTCAGGAGGTTGCCCTATTTATTCAAGACCGCCTGCCCGAAGGTGCCCTGAGCATGCCCCCCCACCCGCCTGGAGGTGCCCCAGACCAGCCATAGCTATGCCACGCCTCCTCTCCCCCCACCCCCCCAGCCACCCCAGGGAAAAGCGTCTTCCTAAAGACGCTTTTGATATATCCCATGCAGGTTCAAGGGCTGCTGAGGAGGCGGTATTTGTTACTCAGCTTCCTGGGTTCATCGGTAAACTCGCTGGAGCCTAGGTACATTACTGATGAACCCAGGAAGCTGAATAGCACATACTGCCTCTCAGCTGCCTCGGAACCTGCATGGGGAATAATAAAAGCAAAATCTTCCCCCGCCAAAGCCCGCAACCAGGGGTCTGGAGGCAGCAGCAGTGCCAGGAAAGGCTGAGCCTTCTCTTGCCTATTATACCTGCTGCCCATGGTGCAACTACAGTAGAACACCAGAGTTACAAACTAACTGGTCAACCGCATGCCTCATTTGGAACCAGAAGTACGCAATTAGGCAGCAGCAGAGACAAAAAAAAGCAAACACAGTACTGTACTGTGTTAAACGTAAACTATTTAAAAAAGGGAAAGTTTAAAAAAGATTTGACAAGGTAAGGAAACTGTTTCCGTACTTGTTTCATTAAAATTAAGATAGTTAAAAGCAGCCTTTTTCTTCTGCATAATAAAGTTTCAAAGCTGTATTAAGTCAGTGTTCAGTTGTAAACTTCTGAAAGAACAATCATAACGTTTTGTTCAGAGTTACGAACAACCTCCATATCAGAGGTTTTCATAACTCTGAGATTCTACTGTACCTAAAAAATATTACTACATTCATACAAAATATAAAAAGGAGCACATCTTCAAGGCTCCAGTTTCCTCTGCCAAAATTACAAATACAAAATTAGATTGCTCACAGAGCATTAAAGTCCCCTACCTTCCCATCCCCATCCATCTCATTTTTCTGAGACCTATTTCTAACAATTAGGCCTAAATACACATACAAAAGTGAGATCTCAACTCCTACTTAGCTGCCTCTACTCTTCTCCCCTAAAGGGGGTTTTAGTGTGCATAGCAGGAATGTGCCAACACATCAATATTGTCACACATTTCCCTGCAGGTTTGTCACTGTGATCCACTAGCATTCATTCAGGTCAGGTGTGGACTGGGTCCCAGAGAAATCAAGGCAGTGCCCCTGAAGCATTTGGGATACTTCAGTTTGGTGAAAGATGGACATTCTGAATAAAACATGATGCTCTATATAAAAATCAAGACTCTTGATCAAAAGCGTACTGGGACAATTTGAAGGGGAAAAAAATAAAGTGGGACCAGGAGATAGCGTCCCAAGACAGCTAAAAACAATTCAACAAAAGGAAAACAAGTCTGTTTTAAAGCCTTCCTACATTAAAAGAGAAAACTAAGTTATCAACTTTACAATACAAAGAAAACTAGGTCTGAAAAACAACAATGAAAACAGATAATTAATAAAATTAGCTAGTCTTAGTAGCTGCCAAATGAGGTGCCTCAGTGAGAATGAGACAGTATATTCATAAGGCTTGCAACTGTCACCTTAACTGCAGTAAGGTGGTTTAATGTTTTTCATTGTGAAATTCCATAGGGCTTCTCATACCATTCTGAGTCAAAGGGATACGATCAACTTGATTTTTTTAAGTATAGTTTCTAAGAGAGCACCCTTTAAATAGTATTTTTCTGAACATTTTAAAAATAGCTTTTCTATAAACATTTTAAAGGGTTTTTCAGCCCCCTGTTGATGTTTACAAGGAATTTATTAGTCAATTTCCCCCTAGCCAAGTATATACTAAAAAATGATTAAACTGACTATATATAAGTCACTGTCAAACACTGGAAGTAAACAACCAAAAAAAAGAGAAGCAATCACAACAGTCTTAGGAGTTTCTTTCAGCCATAGCAGTCTTAGGGGCTTTTTATTTTTAACAATAATATATACTCATTTTTGAGACAGAATTTGATTTTCCAGTTTATAGTATTCCTTTAAAGCTTTGAGACATGTAGACAAGACAAAAATGTCTACCCTAAACACTTTTGGAGAATTTGGTTTCATGCAGTCAAACATCCTTGGAAATCTATTCTTTCCTTGATGTGACACGCTATTGGAAGGTATCGCACATCCAGAAAAAGACTAGATACCTAATAAAAAAATAAAAACAAAACAATCTGGAACAATTATGAAACAAAAAAAAATATATATTCATATATATACCTGAGATCAAGACTTTCCAGATTCTGAACTTGACAAGCAATATCTGTTACTTTCTCCCAGGATGGCAACAGATTTTTTGATAGATTTATACTCCTGATATCTGAGAATTCACTTTAAGAAAAATGTATCAGAATTCAGAACTTCTTTTTTCAGAAAACAGAGGTATAACTTTACAACTATTGTGTTCTTGAACCAAAATATAGCAGAGTAAATCTGTCTGAGCTAACAGATACTACTGCTCAGTTACTCAGTTGTATCTCGGAATCTGGTACAAAAATAGTACATTAAGACTTATAAAACAACTCAGTTCTATGGGTCCAGGAGAGTGTTTATGTCTAGAGTAAAGAACATACAATTCTTATTTATTCATTTACTAATACTGTGTACAATTCTTGCTATGAATTTTGGAAACATAACCACAATATGTAAGAAATGGAATGTATTATTATTATTATTATTGACTATTCATGGGCATCAGTGGCTGTGAATATGTAAAGTGCTTCTCTAGTAACTGCAGCAATTTTTATGGCCTTATCTACACTAAATTTTTTCTTTGCTACCACCAATGCAGCTTCTAATAAAAGAAGGTAGTTAACCGGGTGGATTTGATTTAAATCATGATTTAAATAACTAGTCAGGAAGACTCGATTTAATCATAGATTTCTACATAAAAGTGCATTCTTGTTGGTTGTTATAACCTTAATACATATTCTTCACAACTCAGAGATAGATGTTATGTATTCTGGATTTTTTTCTTCAACAGCAAACATAATATTTTAACAAAACAAGCATATGCATTTTTTAATTTGATTAAACATTCAAGATTTTAAAAATCAGGTTCATTTTTGTTAAAACTGTTTTTAACTAAAATAGTTAAATGAAATTTAAAAAACAAAAAAACAACCCAAGAATTAAATCGACTATGTCAGCCAGGTCAACATGAGAAACTTAAAATATTGGCTTCTGCAGCTAACTCAGGTCGTCTTCACCTTCATTTTCCTGTTTGTTCATAATCTGGAAAAGAAAAACAAGCTTTCCTGCTTTTTCAGGTCCCAAATGATTTCTCAATTTGGAATGAATTAGTCCAAAGGAAGAAAATATTCTTTCTACACCAGCAGAACAAGCTACTGCTGTTAAAAGTGAGATTATCACTTCAACAGTCTCTGAATCCAAGTGCTTAAGTGACTTCAACCAGTTCACTGATGTGACTTTCTTTAAAACATCATCAGCAAACATATTTCTTGAATGGTTCACCCTTAGCGCTGAAGTTTATTATAGTTGGCATTATGGAGGGATGATTGCTGGTTGTCCATGTCATAGCCAACTCCTTCTCTTCAGCAGTTAAAGTTTGACCCTGGTACCAAGTATTGAGAATATGTGCAAGAAAATGAGCTGGAGATAGTGCTTGCCCCATTCGTTTTTTTAATGCTTGTAATTTAACTCTGTCATTGCATATTTCTCTTTTTAAGATCTCACTCAGTTCCTTCCAAATTTCAACAGCGTCAGCAATAAAACAGCTATTTCCCTGCATTTTTTTCAAGGCTACAGAAATAGGCTTCAGGGTACTCAGCATGTGTTCAACATTTTTCTTAAGCCCAATGTTATCTATAGTTGTTTCTGGATGATGGAGATTTTGCTACAGGTGACTATGTGACATACATACTGTGGCTATGTGACATACATGATGTGACAAATACTATCATTGGCAGATAACTCTGAAACTATAGAAAATGATGGTCATCTTGAAGGTAGATAGTCTTCAGAATCCTCTATTTTGAGGATGGATACTCCTAAACAAAATAAGTCAATGCAGTTATTTAATTATTATTACCATACTGCTCATTTAGTATTACTCACTGCATTCACTGATACTCAGTACTACATTAAAGGTGAAATTGTAAAAGGAAGAAATGCCTATTTCAGCTATTTATTTTTTATTACAACTGCATCTAAAATGCTAGTACCATAGAGTAACAACTACATTTTTTGCTCAAACATGAGAATTCAAGAATAGTCCAGAACAGGGGTCGGCAACCTTTCAAAAGTGGTTTGCCGAGTCTTCATTTATTCACGCTAATTTAAGGTTTCGCGTGCCAGTCATACATTTTAACGTTTTTAGAAGGTCTCTTTCTATAAGTCTATAATATATAACTAAACTATTGTTATATGTAAAGTAAATAAGGTTTTTAAAATGTTTAAGAAGCTTCATTTAAAATTAAATTAAAATGCAGAGCCTCCTGGACTGGTGGCCAGGACCCGGGCAGCGTGAGTGCCACTGAAAGTCAGCTCGCGTGCCGCCTTCGGCACACGTGCCATAGGTTGCCTACCCCTGGTCCAGAAGGAAGACAGGCAGTCCTTAAGAAAGAAGTATCAAATAAAGTTTACCAACCTGAAGATCCTGCATGTTCAGACATGTTCCTTTCATCACCTTCAACACAGCTTCCTCCTGAGAAGGAACACTTCTCATGATGTTGTCATATTCGGGCAACCAGACCTTGCATTTCTTTGTTGCACTCTTTGCATTTTGCACGTATTCCTGTCTTACCCACAGGTAGAGGAACTTCATTAAAATATTCCCAAACTGGGTCTCTTTTACAGCTTTCTGCCATTATAGGTTTTCCCTTCTAATGAGAGAATGGTATGGTATATCTCAAATCAATGAAGGCTACACTCAGAAAGACCTCCAGACTTCTGGAATGTGCTGCTCAAACAGTTTCACTTTTGTTTCTACTGCCTGTCCCTCCCTTCTCACATTTATCTCCAGACTTTTTCCCCTTGTCCAGATCTATTCCACCCCCAACAATCTTTTATTCATTGAACTTTTTGAAACTTTGCACTTTTAGAGAGAGGTAAGGGATTGATTCTGTGTACACAAACTTGCAGAGGGACAATATGGTTGAGGTCTGTTATTTCTCACCTCTATATATTATTTATTTAAAAACATTTTTGCTGTTAACAAGCATGTTATCTCTGGAGACACAAATCCACAGTTTGAGAACTGAAAAACTAAGTGCCTCTGATGGTATCTTCTAGACTGAGCACTGAGTCCCATTGGCTAGATAGAAAGATTAACCTAAATAATCTATACAGAAGCCCCTGGAACCCCATAAGATTGGATCCCTAATCCATGAACAATTGGAACTCATTTACAAAATTTTTCTTTAACATTACATGAATATATTGGCTCATACTATAGAATTAGAATTTATAATCCTATTCCATGATGAGATATCTTTGAGCTATAATGTATCAATTAAAACGATCTTTAGATGGGTTTTTCCTCAAACAAATCCGATTTAAATAAAAAAATCCGATTTTAATGATTTTTTTTTTTTTTTTTAAATCATTGATTTTTATCCACCCCGTAGTTAACTGAACTGGTATTTAAAAAAACCCTACTTGTGCCCATTATAATGGAATTTCTACCATTCAAAAGCAGGTATAGTTAGAGGACAGACTGAATTAAGCTCCTAAATTTAATAAAAAGGAACTAAACTGATTTGAAAATAACCTCTGAAAATATGTAAATTTAATCCCTTAATGTCTGCAGAGTACACCTGAAATGCTTAAAGCGTGTGTTTGATTTATGTAAATAGTAGCACATAATAAAACGCTTTTAGAAAAGGATACTAGGACACGTTCTGCTGATTTCCTCTTTCTGACCAGCATGGCTCACTGCACATTCTCTCACTGAGATGTCTACCAATTTGTTCAGCTGACTACATGAAAAAATACTGAACGTTAATTTATATACCAAACAGAGAAAAACAGCACAGATTATATATTGAATAAAAGCACCCAGATATTAAATCTAAACACTATGCATTTCACATCCTTTTTACAATTACTGCTATACAAACACTATATTACTAGATAGTGGTATCATCTTCATCTAAATCATAGAAATGCTCTCATGAAATACCCTTCAGCAACATTACAAAACAGTTTGTAAAAGCAGCAAAGAAAATGACCCTATCAGATTTAAACCACACAGAGTAATTCAAGTAGGCAAAATTTAGTAATCTAATGTGGAATTTGGGACATCCAGGCTCTTACAAAAAGTGGTACAGGAATTTTAATAATTATAAATGATCAGTACCTTTGGTTTTAAGTCTCTTCTGGGGGAAAAAAAAAAAAAGTATTTTCAACTGTTCAGTAGCCTCTAATGACATTTGTGGGCGGGGGGGGGGAGTTGGTTGGGGGGGAGAGAGAATTGATTCAGTATCAGCTTACAGGAGAAGAGTGCCATCTACAGAATCAAGACCACACAACTGCTGCAGGAGCTCCATGGAGACACCAGCATACGTGCAGCCTGCTCCATACACCACCCCGATTATCAACAAAACTAATTTCCTCCTCCTCTTTCCCAGATAGAAGAATGAGAGCCACTTAGAATAGGTGAAGACAATTCCTCATTACTGGTACTGTGGGCTTTCGACCCTTGATTTTTTTATTCACAGAATATAGTCACCACCGAGCTGAGTTGATACCGACATTAAAACACTAACAAATCATACACCATACAACAATCATAAAACATTAAATTTATTTTAAAAGGAACCATTATGTTAATGTGTATGACAAATGCTAATCTCATGCTAAACTACATTCCCTTATTTTAGCCCCCGAAATTGCTGTCATTACCTCTTGTTGTGTGAAGTCGGACTGAGCACCTAGGAACTGGGATCATGTCTGATTAGTCTATAAAATGTAATGCAAATTGTGGTGCTATATTAATAAGTTTCTTGGATATCTCCCAACCAAGTACAATCCTGCTTAGTTTTTGAAATCTGACAAGATCACAGCTTGAGGCGGTATACTAATATGAACTAGAAACCTCACCAATTAAGGTACATATTCTCCATCTGATGCAAAATATAACTCATTACACCTGAGAGGAGCACTAAAAATTGAAAGCGTCACACCTTTATGTATCAAAAAGCTTTTAGAGTAATTATGGCCCAATTTATGTAAAAATAAACTGCGATTTTAAATATAATGTTCTTTACTTTTGTCAGCCTGCATAAGGCTACTGGCAAGAGATGCACAATACATGCATATAGTAAAGATGTTAGGGTGAAAGATGTTTTGGATGCATAATTTTAAAAAGTAACATTGTCAAGATAGCCATTAAAAGAAATTTCTGGCCTGTGTTACTACATCTTGTATTAACTAAACATGAAGAGCTTTACAAATCTGATTTACTGTTCATCATGGGGGTTTTGGACATTTAATTCAACTGGAACAGCGAAACTAACGAGTTTCAGCTTCTGTCTCCAGATCATTTCACTTTCTGGTTTTTATACTCCCTAGCACAGGGGCGGGCAAACTTTTTGGCCTGAGGGCCGCATCAGGTTTCATAAATTGTATGGAGGGCCGGTTAGGGGAGGGGGTCATCGCCTGGCCCCCACCTCCTATCTGCCCCCGCCTCGGGACTCCTACCTCATCCAACCCTCCTTGTTCCCTGACAGCCCCTCTGGGACCCCTGACCCATCCACATACCCCCACTCCCTATCCCCTGACTGCCCCCAGACCCTGCCGCCCATCCAACCCCTCCTCTCATTCCTGACGGCCCCACCGGGACCCCTGCCGCCCCATCCAACCCCTCCCTCATTCCTGACGGCCCCCCCGGGACCCCTGCCCCATCCAACCACCCCTTCTCCCTGTCCCCTGACTGACCCCGGAACTCCTGCCCCGACTGCCCCCTGCCACCCCATCCAACCCCCCTCCTTCCTGACTGCCCCCCCCAGGACCCCTGCCCCCATTCAACCCCCCGTTTCCGCCCCAACCATCATCCACACCCCTGCCCCCTGACCACCACCCCAAACTCCCTTGCCCTCTATCCAACCCCCCCCTGCTCCCTGCCCCTTACCATGCTGCCTGGAGCACTGGTGGCTGGCGGCGCTACAGCCGCGCCGCCCAGCTGGAGACGGGCCATGCTACCGCCGCTGCCACCACCACGCAGCATAGAGCATTGGGTGAGGCCGGGCGCTGCAGCTGCGCTGCCCCAGGAGCTCACAGCCCCACCGCCCAGAGCATTGCGCCGGCGGCGAAGCAAGTGAGCTGAGGCTGTGGGGCAGGGGGAACAGCAGGGGAGGGGCTGGGGGCTAGCCTCCTGGGCCAGGAGCTCGAGAGCCAGGCAGGATGGTCCCGTGGGCCGGATGTGGCCTGCGGGCCGTAGTTTGCCCACCCCTGCCCTAGCACAATGTTGTTGAGTTTGAGTTCACAATGCTAGACAAATGTTTAAATCCCCCCCGCCAAAGAAAAAGTTCCAGCAGAAAAACAAGAGATATAAATGTTTATTGAAAAGATTGCTCTCAAGTTTTTAAAAAAATATATGCCCAAAAGCTATGCTATATGCTCCAGTCTTCCAATCCCCGGAGTCTGTGAATATCTAATACAGAATCATGGTTATAATTCCCAGACAAAAACCTCTGTTAAAATACAGTTAATCCTGAGAAGGCGTATCAGTAATTCAGCATAAAATATGTTACAAGCATGCTGCAATTATCCCAAACCAAGTGTTATCAACCCAGAAAATTCACAGTTAAGGTTAAACTTAATCCTCTATCCCCAAACATGTTAAAACCATGGAAATACACAATTAGGGCACCCAATCCAATTTTAACTGTTTGCATGGTCACAGACCTTTCAACTTCCCAAATAGTAAAAACTCCCTAACATTTTGTGCACAAGCTACATGTGGATTATTATTTCTAGGTTTAACGATCAATTCCCCCCCATTTTTCTCCATAATGGAAAGTTTCTCCTTTGGCAGAAACCTCAACACAATAGTGTTTGTTGACCCAGACTGGATAAAATTCAGTTATGAAAAATTACAGGAGGAAAATATTAATCCTACAAATTATTCAAATGCTGCCTATGCACAAGACTTCAGTGAGTTTTAACTTTTTGGAAAGTTTGATGAGTCTGTGTTATATTGTTACTGAGACTTTTAAAAGGCCAAAAATGTCTGACACTAGGTGCTATATATCTTAAAAGGACTCATTTTTAATTAATTTTAATTCCTAAACTAATTAACAGATTCATTTGTAGATTCTCAGGAAAAAAAATCTGTACTCAAAGTGTAAGTGTTTTATTTTTGAGGAGGCTACACAAGTTTTCATATATAAGAAAGAAGCTGAATTCCTGATTTAAAGGACAAAACTCCACTCAGCCTTAACTATGGAGTCAATATCAATACCTCTATAATATAACTCAGATTTACATATATAAATTACACTTGCCTTTGTTGTTCTATAATAGAATCAAAACCAACAAGTTCCACAGTCTTCTTTCCAATGACTAATGCATTCTCTTTCTCACATTCAACATCTTGCTCATCATTCAATCCATAGCGGTTCTTTACTGCAGTAAGAAAATCCACACCAAAATTTGCCTTGTTTGGGCGGATAAAGGATCCTCCTGTAGGGTGACTGGAAGGGTGGGAAGAGAGAGGATGTGTACCAAAACAGGAAATACAAAACAGCAGTCAGACTTCTGGTAATAATTTCCTTTTCTCTGGGTACTTTTTAAATTATTTGTACTTTGAGTAATATTAGAAAAAATATGGAATTCTCATTCTACTACTGGTGTGGAATTATGCAGTTGTGAAGTATTAGGCAGCACATGCACCCCTTACTGCAATCAACAGAAGTCAGTATAATCTCCAACTCCCCCCAGTAGATGTTATTAGCAGCACTTGTACCAATGTAATGAGATTATAACACATGAGAACTAAATTCTTCGTAACTCCACTCCTTAAAAAAATCTGAATTTCTAGACAAGCAGAAAAGAACTGTATCCACAGCAATGGGTTATTTCTGGGTATTGTTAAAATTAAAGTACCTGTTTTAAAAGAATCATAACTAAAAATGTCATCCATCTCAGGTAAGTGTAAAATGATCATATTAACAATTGTCAGGACTTTGTGTATTCCACAGATAGCTGTAGTATTCCTTGCTATAATATCGTGCCCCAGAACCAAAGACAACAGTCATCTACCTGTACAGTAGCTACTGTTCTTTGAGATGTGGGTGCAGATGTATACTCCACTCAGGTGTGCATGCACCCAGTGCACGAAAGCCAGAGAACTTTGCTTATCAGTACCCGTAGGTGCACCATTTGCGCCCTCTGGCCCTGTAGCCCCTCCTCTGGCTATTAAAGGACAATGCCACCCCAATCCCCCTGAGTTCCTTCATACTGAACATCAAGAATTGAGACTCCAATGCAGAGAGGAGAGAAGGTGGGTCATGGAATACACATCTGCTTCCACATCTCAAAGAACAACAGTTACTGTACAGGTAGGTAACCATCTTTTCTTCAAGTGGTTGCAGATATGTATTCTGCTCAGGTGACTCATAAGCAGTATCAGTAGGAAGGGGTCGGAGACTACTTGAAGAACGACCACAGAACTGCCTTTCCAAAATTTGCACCTGATCTAAATGCAGTCATAATAGCATAATGCTTGGTAGAAGTATGTATACAAGACCATGTAGCAGCTCTGCAAAATGTCCAATATTGAAACGTCACTGAGAAATGCAACTGAGATGCTTGGGACCCTGTTGAATGAACTCAAACTTTGTGAGGTGGTGGCAAAGCTATCCCATACACTGTTATAACAGGAGGTTATACACCTGGAAATCATTTGTACAGAGAATACTTGACCCTTCAGCGGATCTGCAAAGGAAACAAAAAAGGCTCAGTTCTTTCAAAATAAAACACCGAGCATAGTCTCATACCCAGGGAATGAAGACGCTGTTCGTCTGCATTTGAATGAGGCTTGGGAAAAAATACATTTAAATATATATTATTTGGTTAAGATGAAACTGACACCATTTTAGAGAAAAACTTGGAATGAGCCCTCAAGGCCACCCTTTCTTTGAAAAACGTGGCATACAGAGGGTCTGCCATTAGGGCTCACAGCTCACTAACTCTTCTTGTGGAAGTTATGTCCACAAGAAACACTGTTTTGGTAGAGGAGTTGCTAAGGGCTCAAGTGGAGGACTGCTGAGGACAGCCAACACAGAATTATGGCGCCACTGAGGAATCACTTTCTTCACCAGTGGAAAGAGACTAATGATCCTTCTCAGAAATCTGACTACCATGCATTTCAAGAAAACTGAATTCCCTTGGACTGGAAGCGAAACACCAAAATCATCAACAAGTGGGTTCTCAATGACCTGAAAGACCAGAAGACTGACGGTGTAACAGGTATTCAAAAATGTCCTGAATTCGGGCATGCATTGATTGAATTCCTCAGGCTAGGAATAAAATTGAAAAACTTTTGCACTTCGCTGAATAGGAAGCCCTAGTAGAGGACTTCCTACTATTAAGGAAAACCTGTCAAACAGCTTTGAAACAGTGTTCCTCCTTCCTTACCTAATCAAGCAGCATCCATGCTGTGGGGTGCAGACTGTTCAGTACTGGATGCAAAATCTGACTGTGGTACTGAATCAGTAAATCAGGACAGCAAGGAAGAGGAATGGTCAGATGAACAGAAAGACTGAGGTCTGAAAACAAGTACTGTCTTGGACAAGCCGTTGCAATGACAATCAGTCTGACATGATACATTCCCAGCTTGAGCATCACCTGAGGAACAACTGGGATATGAGGAAGGGAGGACATGCATCAGCACCCATCTCCAGTTCAAATGAAACGCATCAGTTAAGGAACGGCGACTGAGACGCCCTCCATAGCAAAACTTACGTCACTTCTAGTTGTCCTTCATTGCAAACATGTCAATGGACCTCAGCACATTGCTCTTCAGAGACCACTCAAAATTCTGGCAGAAATTCCTGCCAAGATAATCAGCTAAGTAATTCTGGGACCCTGGTAAATGAGCTGCTGTGGGAATGATATTCTCTTCAATGCAAAACGGCCAAAACTTTTATCACCTCCTGACAATACCAGATGGAGCAGGGTACCTCCCTGCTTGTTCACACAATACACTGTGGTGGTGGTGGTGTCTGAGAGTACATGAATCACTGTGACCTTGATATCTGCTCAAAATGCCCTGCATGTATTGTAAACAGCTCAAAGGTCCAGGATATTGATATGAAGCAATACTCCCTGCTCGCTCCACAAACCTTGAACATTTAATCCCCCTAGATGAGCTCCCCAACATATTGTGTAAGCATCAGCAACTATGGTCCCAGATTGATGATGACGAAGCAAAGGGGACCCCTTTGGAAACACTGACCTGATCTGTCCGCCACTCTAGGAAGCCCAGGATGGGCAATGGTATCTGCACCAAACTGTCCAGCAACTAACAACTTGGGAGATATATCAGTTTCAACCAATCATGAAAAGGACAAACACGTAATCTTGGATAAGTGCATGCAGCCATATGACCTAACTTCTGGCTCATCTGGATCATAGTTGAAGGGTGAGAGCAGACACATACACAGGTAACAAAATTATCCATTTGGTAGAAATGCCCTCAACTCAGAGTCTAGTAGGGCCCTAATGAATTCAGGGTTGGGTTTTTTTGAATTAGTACTGTTCACTTTGCCTTGTTCAAAACCAGACCCAGATAATCAAGATGACAGTGTGAACTGGACATGCAAGGACTTTTTCTCTAGAGTTGCCCCTCACTTTACCAACCATCCAGGTATAGAAAGGGATGAATTACTTTTTTTCTGAGGTACGCTGTCACTACAACCATGCATTTGGTAAAACTGCACAGAGCCGAGAACAGGCCAAAGAGGAGCACAGTGTACTGAGAGTGCTGACCTGCCACAAGTCTCAGAAATCTCCTGTGGCTCAGAAAAAGTCATCACATAGAAATAAATGTCCTAAACATCCAGGGCAGCAAATCAGTCGTGATTCAATATGAGAAAAACAGAAGCTAGGGTGTCCATGAAAAATTTCATATATTTGCTGTACTTTTTGAGACTGTGGGGATGAAGAATAGGTCTCATTCCTATATAGGCCTTGAGGACAAGGAAATACCAGGAATAGAATCCTATTCCCTGATGCTGCAGGGGAATCTTCTCTATAGCTCCCAAAGGACACAGAGTCTGAACCTGTGTTTAGAGAGAGGTCCCTAAAGAGGGATGGGGTTGGGACATGGGAAGGGGAATGCACAGAAATTGGATAGCATAACCCCATCTTATGGTGGTTGAGGACCCTTTTTTCCATGGTTACTGTGTCCCAAGAACTGTAAAGGTAAGACAGCCTATCCGTGAACTGAGGGAATGGGGAGATCACAACTGGAATGGTGTCCTAGATGTGCAACTTAAAATGGCTGCTTGCTCAACGTTGGATGAGAGCGGGCTTACCAGTTAAAATTGGACTCAGAAGGCCTCCTTCTCTACGACCCTACCTGGAGAAGTCTTGCTACAAAATAGGGAAGGATGAGTACCAGAAAAGCCTCTGCAAGCTGTATTGCTGCAGTTCTGTTTACCTTCATAATGACATCCCTTGGGGGTTTATACCCCAGCTCCAAATGAACGTAACGTAGCACACGAGTCCTTAAAAGAATGTAGTCTCACCAGTTTTCTCAGAAAACAAAAATGAACCATCAAAAGGCAAGTCTTCTATGCTCTGCTGAACCTCTGGAGTGATGCCAGAATTCTGAAACCATAAGGCCCGTCTCGTAGTCATAGCTGATGCCATAATTCTGAAGGAAGCATCTGCCATGTCCAGAGCTGACTGCAATGATATTTTGGCTACCAGATGGCCCTCCTCAATGACTGTCTTAAAGGATCCTGGCAATTTATCAGTGAATTTGGACACAGCATCCCAATCGATGAAGTCGAACAGTGCCTGATGATCTGCAATGCCCAACTGTAACGACTACGTTGAGAATATTTTTCTCACATCAAATCCAGCCTTTTTGACTCCAAGTCTTTAGCTGTGGACTTGTACTTCCCCTGCTATGATCTATCATTTACTGCCAATGCAACAAGAGGATTAGGGCTGGATGGGAATAGAAAAACTCAAAATCCTGCATAGGGACAAAATATCATTTATCAGTCCACTTTGCTGTAAGAGGTAATGAAGCTGGGGTATTCCATAAGGACTTTACAGGCTCCAAAAGAACTTACTTTATTGGGAAAGCTACCTTCCCGGAGGTGAGGCTTGGAGAATAGCCAACAACTTATGTGTATTCTCATGCACAAATTCTGCCTGAATACTCAAGGCAGAAGCCATATGCTTCAGGACACACTGGTATGATTTAAAAATCTTCAGGCACAGGGAAGAAGAATCTGGTACCGTGGAGTCATCTGGTGAAGAGGAAGACGAAGAACAAGTGCTCTCTCAGGAGCCTCCACTGGCCCCACTTCCATGTGGAAGGGGTTCATGGTGAGCTGGCATAGTAGGAATGACCTCACACTGTGTCTTTTCCTGAACAAGGTTGAAGAATGGGATCTTGCAGACTGATGAACATCCCAAGGAGACCACTGGGGATAAGGGTATGGCATTGGTGGCC